CCAACGACGCGGCGTCTCCCGGATAGCCGAGAATTAATGGATTCGAGCCGCGGAAGCTTACGTATACAAAATAGTCACGAGGGCATGTGGCCGCTTTAAAGGGGAAAGGAATAGGGAAAGCGGACATTCGGTATTACACAACGCATCTCCCTCACGCACCTCCATTCAACCTTTCAATACAATGAAACCTGGCTTAAACGGTCAGTTTTGGTTCCGAAAAATGACTGTTACTGCATGTGGCCGCTACAAAGGGCAAGGGAAAAAGGAAAGCGGGAGTTTGGCGCCAGCGTGCCTCCTTGCGAAGCACCTCCAACCAGGTCTAATTGTGTTTGCTAACGACAATTAAACCTGGCCCAAGCGGGCAATTGTGCATCCGAAAAAAATGGCTACGAGTGCATGTGGCCCCTTAATAATGGTAGGGAAACGAAGAAAGCACACGTTTGGCGCAAGCGCCCCTTGCCAAGCACCTCCAATCAATGTTTCCAAAAAACAATTAAACCTGGCTTACGAGGTCTGTTTTGGTTCCGAAAAAATGGCTGTTAGTGCATGTGGCCTCTTAAAAGGGCAAGGGGAAAAAGGGAAGCGGACGTTTGGTGCAAGCGCATCTTCCTGCCAAGCACCTCCAATCAGTGTTTGCTAAAGACAATTAGACCTGCCTAAGCGATAAGTTTTGGGTTAAAGAGAAAATGGCTGTAGTGCATGTGGCCGCGTAATAAAGGGTTAGGGAATAGGGAATGCAAACATTCGGTATTATATGCTTGGCGCCGACGGTCTTCCATGTCACGGTCTTCTATTCAGTGTTGGCTGAATACAATGAGGTCTGACTTTAGTGGCCAGTTATGGTTACAGAGAAAATGGTCGTTTGTTAATATGGCCGCTTAATAGAGGGTGAGGGAATAGGGAAAGCGAACATTCGGTATTACACAGCACCCCTCCCAAGGGTGCTTAATATAATGTGACCTGACTTAAGCGGTCAGTTTTGGTTCTGGAGAAAATTGCTATTTGTGCACGTGGACTCTTAATAAAGGGTAAGGAAATAAGAAAATTGGACGTTCGGTATTAAACGTTTGATACCTAGTCAATAGTGAAAAGGAATGAGGATATCCTTGAGGTGTTTCGCATATTATTGAATAAGACGAAGATCGATATTTGTCAAATTTTCGGTTTTCTAGGATTTTGTTGATCATTCGTATTAGACAGATACGAATTAATATTGGTAAGAGAACAGATAAATATTTCACGCGAGGTTCGGTGGAATTCAAAATCTGACCATGATGAATCTGACAATCATAGTACAGGAAAAAATCAAAATGTTCCTGTCCGATGAAGATTTGTTTTCTCCAGTCTCTCATCCCGCTAAAAGTCCCATAAACTGTCTAGACTTTTTCATGTTTTATGCACCTTCTTTGCTCTTCCCTTGATCATCATCTTTAGTAATAGTATATAAAGGGAAGTCCACTCATTCGGCGAGAAGCAAGTCTTATCAAATCCTGAGCAGTGTGGATGGATCGCATGCTATTTGCCGAGCGCCAAATACTCGCCCTGATTGCTAACTGTCGATCTTTTTTTTGGTCAAAGGAAGTGAACATTTCCAATCCCCTCGGCTACTCGAAATTGGGCGAGCATTCGCTGACTTCTCGCAGAATGCCAAATGTGTGGAACTGCCTCATACTTGGCTTTAAACATAACTGCCCCTGACATAAATCAGCTATTGCTGTGTCATCCAACGGGAGGTTGAACGTCACCATAGTGACATGACGTTACTGTAGTTTTGTGTAAGCTCCCTATTGGATGACACTGTAACTGCTGACGATCTGCCAAGTGCAGGTCTAAATAAATCGAAGTATAAAGGCAGCTCCACACATATTTGGCATTAGCCGAGCAGTGAGCTACTGCTCGCCCAATCCGAAACAGTTGATGTGTTCGGCGAATGTTAGTTTCCTTTCACGAGTCCAAATAACCGACACGCGGTGGGTAGAGTGAGCACCAAATATTCGTCACACAGCAAATAGCAGACAACTCACCCACACTACTTGGGATTCGGCGAGCGGTTGTTCGCCACTCGACGAATAACGAATGTTATATTATGCTGCGTTAACGCAATGACGCATATGACAAAATTCATGCGAATGTAGTGCCTTACGGTAATATATCGTCTTCGCTAGTCACGTGATCAATAGAGTATAAGAAAACCTTCTACTACGAACCCTACTCTTTAGGTGACTCCACACCTTCCGGGAGAAGCGGCCTCTCGCGTAATCCCGAGTAGTGTGGATTGCTTGAACAGCGTTTTTTACCTATTCTCCGATTTAATTATATTGACTTCTGACTTCCAATCTCCTGGGATGCGGTCATCCAATCGAAAGCCCCTATACCAAAAACTAAGTCGTAACGGAGTTCCCGATTATATAGTCACGTCGAGCTGATCGAACGCCAGAAGTCACTATAATATATTGCAAAGCGACAAACATTTGATGCTCGCCCTACCCACCAGGTGTGTCTGTCTTTTGAACCCATCAAAGGAAGCGAACATTTACCTAGCACATCAGCTGGTCGGGATTGGGCGTGAAGTAGCTCGCTACTCGCCGAATGACGAATGTCGCTTTACCTCTGAATTATTATCGATATTTTTTGACTAGCATAATTACAATACTGGGGTCCGTTGTACCCCAAACGTTTTTAATATCTATATTTAGTGGATTGAATTTTTTATGGTAATTGTTTGATAGTAATTCATTTCAACTTGTTTACAACTTCTATAATCAAAATATGAGGTACAAGAATTTCATCAACCCGTACAAACATGTTTATTTTAATGTCTATATTTTTTCAATTCATAATACAAAGGTAATTTTAAAATATTTTTTTCATTTTATTATAAATTTTTCATGTGCCAAGATGATGAAGAAAAATATTAATATCTACAGAAGCAATTTATGCATAATTAAGAAATTAACAATCATTACTGTATGCTTTCATGAACTTTGGGCTAAGAAAATCTCTCCGCACTGAGCGGAATCCTAATAAAACTTGCATTTATGTTGGTAACAACCGGATCACTGGGAAACAAGTGAAGGGGCAACATTTCCAGCAACTGTTATGATTGTGGTAAGTACGCAATTTATGTTTTCCTTTGTTACAATCTGCCGTTCGTGCTATCAACATAATTTCTGTTACTAGCACTTTCACCAGTAAGGTGCCACTGTGGAGAGACTTCACTACACTTTCACAATCGCTTAGATCGGATTAGTGTTCCTGGCTTCTGTGTTTCTCTTCCGATTCATTTTCGAGGATCGTTCATGTTCGTAACAAGTTCGTCAATCCACATGGATTTATTATCCATTGTTGAATCACAACACTCAGCTCGGTAAACACGACGGAACGTCGAGAAATAATGTACACGTTAGTACTATCAAGGGATCTATAGTGACCCAATACCCAATAAGGCTGTAAAAAAACACAACTAACACTAACACGTTACCTTGAAGATTATTGACTTCTAAGAGAATCTACAAAATCTTAGGCGCAAGAACTTTGCCATTTCAGATAGATTTTTTTTGCTGGGGTATAAAATGGCCCCACGATACTGGGGAACCGAGGGATAAAGCAATGATTCTTTTGCTAAAAAGCTTATTTGAACGTATAGTACGATGTATTTGGTTGTGCACATGACACGTACTAGCTGTTGTGAACATCTTATATGTCGCTACGTCACTGTGGGCACGTTCAAGCTCCCGATTGGATGAAACGGTGAACAGGTGATTTACTTCAAGTGTAATGTCTTTCGATGATATAAAGCCGTCGCTGGTCACGTGACCAATAAGGAAGTCGCGTTACGCACTCCCTGATGGCGTGGGCGGGCCCGCCATTCGCTTGGGAAGCACGCAGGCGCTTGGCAGCGCGGCCCTGCCCACCTGCCGCTCGCCGCGGTGGCCGGGTCCTTGATCCGGGGCCCGGGCCGGCACCGCGGGCGTGGGCGGGCGGGCGGCGCGGGCGACGGCCGTTTCCGGCCACCGCCTCCTCCTCGCCCCTCGGCCAGGTGACGTCCACTCCCCCCGCCCCGCCGCCCAGCTCACGCGCGCACGGCCACGCGCAGACGCCGGCGCCGGGTCTGACACGGAACACATCACTCCAGTAAAACACATTTCATTCAAAGACTTTTTAATGTGAACATGAGACCGACAGGTCCAGAAAATATAGCTATGGTGACTTCTTGGCTTTCGGGTGGCTGAGAGGCTGACGTTGGCCTGACATATCGCAAGCATTTCAGGGTAGTGGCGTCAACCTCTCAGGACGACACGTCACCCGGACAAGCCAAGAAGTCGTGAACTGAGCACGGAAGCCTACCTGTAGTGTATGTGTGTGTGTTGGTGTGTGTGTGTGTGGTGTGTTGTGGTGTATATATATATATATATATATATATATTATATATATATATATATATTATATATATATATTAGTGCAATTCATTTCAGTTCAGCAAATTTCATGACTGAGAAAGATGGATCAGTAAAACAGACCGATAGATTTAGTAAAAATTGCTATTGTGCAGGTTGCTCTAGTTCAGCGAATTTTATTCAAAGGTTATCTTCTTAAGGTGTAATTAAGAACGTAAGGTGTACTTTAAAATAGCTATAATGCAGTTAACTCCAGCAAATTTCATTCAAATATAATTGTTTAAGGTAAAGCTGTGAACGACAGGTTGAGTCAAAAAGTGAAAATTGAGCAATTTGCTTCAATTCAGCAAATTTCAGTCAAAGACGAATGCTTTAAGCGTAGGCTGTGAACTTTATCTCAAGTATTGAACCCAAAAAGCATCATTTCGCAAACGAAATACATTCTTTCTACAATCGTCTAAACTTGATTCTAATAGATTTCGCGAGAGGAATCTGTGAACACGGCTGACTCTCAAGAGGAGGTGGGTGGCTACATCGAATGCTGACTCATCAACTTCGATTTCCCAGGAAATGGTCTTCGCTATCCATGTTACGTCGCTTCGAATGCTGTCTTGCCGACGTTTCGTCCACCTTGAGTGGTATTCCTCACTCCGGCACTGAGGAAGACCACCACAAGGTGTTCGAAACGTCGGCACCAGTTACAATTACATTCACATTTACATTAAGAAAGCATGTAACAAATTACTAGCACAATACAAAATTTCTGGGCGATTTCAATCCCTAGCTCGCATTGAACTAGCCGCTGCTTTCTGAACAGCGATAGAACACATTGATTGTTCTACTTATAGCGCGTTATGCCTCAATAGTATGACTATCGACAACTATCGATAGTCTTCAAATAAACTATCGAATGATATCGATAGTACTATTAAAAGAGAGAAATAAATAATACATAAATATTTCGACTAATTTACAAGAACGATCAGTAAATAAGCCACAATATATTGTAAATATTTATTTATTTACGTCAAAAACAGTTAAAAAGACGTGCTTGACGTGCTGTGGGAAGTTAATTTGAAGTTACATTTATGTAACTTCAAATATAAATATTGCTTAAAAAAAGTTTATTTCAAATAACATCTTACCAAGTTTTCCAATAAATTCTCCATCATCAAATGCAAACTTATTTGAAATTGTGTAAAATATTGTAATTATCTTTCAGTGTTGCCATCTCGGAAAAACTTTTGAAAATATCACTACGCCACTTTAATAAATGAAACTCATCATGAACGTGAATTTTATCTTTCTTTCTCTTATTAAGAAAACACGATGTCGAACTAGTGTTTGAACCAGTGAACTCGTTATGTATATACTTAATGAAAGATAAATAGAATATGTTGCTGGAGTATTGATAATTAAAAATGAACTATCTTTATGTTTACATTTGAATAAAAATTGATTCCGATAATATTCGATAGTTTTCAGAAGTATCAATAGTTTTGACAGTATGGCACTATCGAATACTTTCGATAGTGCCATCGAGGTTTAACGTGTTCTATTGCGCATGCGCAGTGTCTCCCTTCTCGTGTCTCGTGCGCTTTAACGGTCGTCGAGAGCCCAGGCACGACGCGCCACCTGCACGAATCATGCTTTGTGTCTCGGTAAGTCTGCATGCTTTCTTAGAAACACTTAATTTCATTGTCTTCGCCTAACGAGGATGCGCAGGGGCAAGGGAGGTAATGAAGGTGTGGGAAGAACAAGGAATAACGGCGGCTAGCAAGATCCTAAGAAGTGAAACTCGTAAAGTTGTAAGCAGAGCATTAAAAATATGTTCAACTTTACTCTTCGGAACTACCCATTTACAGTATTAGTCTATCATAAAGAGAGAACGTACGAACTTTTGATCATTTCGAACGGGAGATGGGTAAGGAAACAACTCAGAGATATATAATTTTGAGTTTGTTAGTATTTTTACTCGTACAAAATTAAACTCTCATTTCGTCTGAATTATTTTATTTTTTCTTATTCCCACTTTGCCTCACTAATCGCGTGAAATCAAGCCCCCGCTTAGAACCTGACATAATAATTGAGAACAAAATACTACGAAAACTTTTCCTATTTCCTCACCGTTAAAATGGCCCACGCTGTATCTAACTGATAGGAGCTCATTGTGGGCTTTCGCAATTACTTCATCCCACTTTGAAGTTGAGTACTCATAAAACGCAAACAAATTATGAAACGAAAATTTAGAGCGGAAATATTTTTATTACACTGGCCCACAGTTCAAAGCTCATTCGCCAGAAGGCAACATGTGTTACACTTTGGGGCGGAGATAGCAAAAACATAATTTCCGGTCTTGCGATATCTCGAGAATTTTACTGCGAACCGCATGTAATCATGAGTGACACATCATTTCTTTCGGTTTCACATACTTACTCCAGGGCAATCGTAAAGTTACTAATTACATTTTTTATTATAGCAGTTTATGCAATTAGTTTATAATGTTAATATTTATTGCATGAGAACTTACTTAGAAAACGAGCGATGTTACGTGCGAGTTTTCAAATTTGTACGAATGCAATAAAGCAGCATTATAAACGAGTTGTATACGGTATTTTTTTTTATATAACAGCACTATATATTTGTAAAAGAATCAAAGTTAATGTTGGGAAACAACTTTATTGTGATGTCACGAGCATTTGACATCGAGAAAACCATGATCGGTTGTTGTGTTTACCGCTACCTCCCCACGCTTGGCTGAATGAGCGATGACAAAATTCGTACCATAAACGGCAAATACGTTGTCATCTGTGCCGTAAGATTCCCTGGACTCAAAGGAAAACACACAATTTTTCGGTAATGATTTTTTCTACATTTTGTGTATCAGAAGTAGAAAAGTAGAATTGTTTGCAAGAGATATTCGGAAGAGATAGGACGAAGAAAAATTACACTTTTTACAGTAATGTGTGCATCTGTGCGCAAATTGGTAAAGGGCTTACGGTTTCTATTCACCCTGCTTATATTAGTTGGAATTTCTGGAAGTGTAATTTGTCATGAATATTAATATATGAAGTTTTTCATAATCCTTTTTTCATTTTGTAATTTTTCCTCACTCAGGCATGGAAACCATTGCGAAGTTGCAATGAATTTGTGCAAAAATAATAATAACAATAACAATAATAATAATAACAATAACAACAATAATAATAACAATAATAATAACAATAACAATAATAATAATAATAATAACAATAACAATAATAATAATAATACACGCATTCGTAGTAAGGAAAGTGTCTTTAGCGTTCTATTATCAAAATTCCAAACACCCAATTTACAATTCCAAACATTCCCCTCCAAGAACATCATTCGTACGCCAAAGCTTCAAATTATAATCAGCTAAACGCAACCAAACACGAACGAAAATCCTCTCTTAACGACTGGCGTCCGTTAAGGATTTAACAGTACGCAGTCCGTTAAATGTATCCGCAGTGAGTTAACTAAATATGGCGTAAAAGAACACTTATAACAAGGCATGATTTTTCCCTTTTTTACAGGTTTTTCTTATAAGAAGATGGCATTGCAAAACCTATTGAATCACATACGGCTGACAACACAAACAACAGATTGTTGGTTATTTGTTGAAACTGTATGTGGCTGGCCTCATGGCCTTAAGAAGTAGAGATGGTAGATTTGAGCTATTGCTAAAACTGCGTAATATTACCAAAAACCGAAAAAAATTGAATTTATGTTACTAATGAATGTTTGACGGTCGATGCAATTTATTTCAAAAGATTTTCAATCTGCAAAAAGATGCGAAATGGATCGTAAAATCCGAAACCACATACAAAGTACGGAATGGGCGTGAATTAGCGATATACTAGCTAAATTGTATTTTACGATTGCCTTCGTGTTCGCTCAAAATCGACAACACGTTTGATGACATACTTTGAGCGTGGCCGTGTACATTCATTTATAATTATGATTTAACGTACCAAATAAAGTAATAAGAATATATTGAAAACTGATTTTGAAAGTCTCTACACTCAGGGTCATCTCTAGGGGTCTCAACTTCCTCAGCTCGCTTTACGGCGAAGGTCACGGGAAGAAGAGGAAAGTTCTATTCCTACGGCACAGGCGTTACTTCCTATGCTTCTTACGCTCCTTACGTTTCTTTTGCTTTCATATTTGTTGAAGATCACAAATTACATTAGTTTCCCTTATTTCCTGATTTTAATGGGAAAATCTAAAAAGCGTCACAACAATTTTAACTGAAAGAGTCCTCCCTTAAATATATTTTTTTCAACAAATGCTACGAAATTCTAAAAATTTATTTTTTTGATGCTATAAAATTCTATAGCTTTGCGATTTTTTGAAGTTTAAAGTGGTAAATTCTACCATCGCTATTCCGTGTGGTTACCCGTGCGTGTGTCCGAAGGCGCGGGCGTGGGTGAGGGCGAGGGCGAGGGCGAGGGTGAGGGCGCCTGGAGGCGGGCGGGGGCGGAGCGGAGGCGGCGCCGCGGCAGAGACGAACGGAAGCGGAAGAGCAGCGCGTCGGAGGTGGCGCTGCCAGCGGCCCACGGCGGCGGCGAGAACGAGGGCGTGGGCGGTGGTGACGGAGGCGGGGTTGGGGGCAGGGGCGGAGCGGCTCGACCACCGCGTGACACGCTCTCGCACACTGCTAGCGCCCCGCCGCCTGCCCTGCGCCGCCCGCGCCGTCTCGCCCGACACCGGCCACGGCACGCGTCGGGAAGAGCATACACGCCGCAAAGCTCATCAGTCATTATGCATCATCATCATTATCAATCATTCAGAGGCCGTACTTATAAGTCAAGGTTGCTAAGAGATTTTTAAATTGTTTATTTATTGTGGATTTTTTCTCAGTCTATTTATAAAAAGAATATATTGCCTTTGCTTAAATAATTGAAACAAACAAAGCATGCATTTATATTTTTTTTTTGTTGTTTATATTTCTGTTTTTCATGAATAAAAGAAGAAAAAGAAAAAAAAATTTTGAATTTTTGTTTGGATATTGTTTTTTCATTCGTAGTGGCTAATGTTGGACGCTAAATATGCCGGAAAATACACGCAGAATATGCAGAGTTTGAAAGTGTAAAAATCGTAGATTCATACAATAAAATAAATAACAGGACTGTAATCTTTTCGTTTCTCTGGTGACTTGCGACATTGCCCTCTTTGAAGTTCCTTATATAGGCTTACTAGCAACCATAAAAGGAAGCAGTCTCAAATTATACATTTTTCGCTGAACAGAATTCGCAATAAAAAATACAGCTATAATGCTTCTGTAGTTTTTGGCAGGTCCAAAGTCAATTAGAACCTTACTACGTAAGATATATTGTCGCCAAAAACATTTTTGAGCCGTGCGCGCCTGGCGATCCGCAACGCCACCGATCGGCTGCCTGGGTTCATTCTCGTGATGGATTCGCGTTACAATATTTTCCTAGAACCGTGTGAATGTAGGTTTTCAAATGTATATAAATCGATTTTCCTTCAAAAATCTTGCTTTTTTCGCCTTCACGAAAGAAAAGATATTTGAGATCTGGCGTCGGAAAGATGCAATTTTCTCTAAACAAATCAAATCTGCTATTGCTCGGGCCTGGTAATGAAAAATTAGATTCACTTGTTTCTGTATGTACAGAATTATTTCCTTCTAACTACACTGTCGTCAGTCGTGTTTGTGAGTATGATATAGATTCCAATCAGATGACGGAAAAACTTCTTTTATCGTTGTCAGGTTCTAAAACACTAAACTGCCCAAACAGTTGAGACACTCATTCTCCAATAGTTCCCATGTGTTTGCATTGGAAGGACCACGAACCGGTGCGAGTTTCGTACGGATAATTTGATTTTTATGAAGAGTTATTAGTATCGTAAACGCCTCCAACCATTCTTCAATAATTTCTGCAAATTGTTTCCAATTTTTAAAAAAATAAATTTCGCTCGGAACGCGTCAAAGAAAGTCTCCGACTTTTCGAAATTCAAAATGTTCACACCTTTTTGGCGACTTTCTCACATTTCCCTCAGCCTCCAACGACTTAGAGTTAGAGATATTTTCTAAGATATGAAATATATTATTAAATAATTACCAAGTCGATTACAGTTATGGTAGGCGGGATTTTGGTTTTTGAAAATTAGACTGTACGTTTCTGCGTCATATTTTAGAAGTGAAGATATCGATGACATACTTGATTGGGCTCTGTTGGACTATAAGTGTGGCTATGTGTTCGTTGTTAGAGGGAGTCGACTGTCAGTATCGAGACTGGAGGTAGTGACGATGATGACGTACCTGTGCGTTGGCCCCAATGGTATGGACTTTATTTTTTCCGACGTATGAAGCAAAGTGTGGCGGAAAAAATGATGCCTGGTTCAGTATTCGGGGCCAAGTCGTTGGTGTTTTCAAAAATGGCAAAACAATGACATTGCAAAAGGACAATACTCGAACCGAGTTTATATTCAATTAAAATTTGTTCTAAAGAGTTTCGAATTGGTTAAATGAGAGAATTTGTGTAATTTTTTTCAAAAAAAGACCATAGAGCTCCCCGCGAAAGATTGTTACTTGGATGTTAATTCAATTCATTAAAAAACATCCAAAACACGGGTTCAATTTTTTTTCAGGACGGATCAGTGCAAAGAGGAAGTTTAATAATGGTGCAAGATCTCGATCATTTAAACTCTGATCTTTAACAATTGCAATATTTTACAAAATATTAGGAGCAAAGTGTGTGCTGCTGTGACACACTTAGTTTTCTTTGTTCTTAAAAGTGCAAACTTTGCTACTACACTATGCCGAAAAGCTTGTTGTAATATGCCTTTCTTTTTCATACGCTGGGGCGTAAATGAATTATTATTCTTAGTACTGTGGACAAAATCACATGTTTGGAACCGTTAAATAAAGAAGGATTATTTCAATAAAAGTGGTAATCAAATGGAAGAGAATTGCACTGGGACAGATGCGAAGCATTGGGTGCGGGCGTACCGTCTAAACCAAATTGAAAGACGGCTGGGAATGACTAGGAGGACGGATGGCGTGCTGGCATTAAGAACCTCTTTGGTTATCTTTTTGCAAGTGGAAGGCTCGAAGCCAGTGGGGTTCAGCACGTCTCCTCCTCCCGATCCTTGATGTGCCCAAAACAACGGCCTGGTAAGCAGAAAGATGGCACGTAATGAATGTGGGTAGAATTGCGATTCTTGATCATTGAAATTTAATAATCTTATGGGATATTGACGAGCATAAATGAACTAAAAGGGGAGAAAGTGAACTCATTTAACAAATTAATGAGCTTCACTGTAAAGCTTAATTCCTACGTGAGCCATAATCAACAGTCAACCATAACCTTAAAAACGTCGAAGTACGATACTACATTACTATGTAATGTGGGCTTCCTTTTCTGCCTTTTGAGACGTTTCCCATATAGCATCTCCGTACAAAAATGTGTCTACGAAAAAACAGTTAAGACCAGGTAACACTTCTGGAAGTGGGGACACATGGTAAAGCGCAAATTACAGTAGAAAGAATATTCTTGAATAAATGTCAAAACAGTAGTTCAAAGTAACCTACCTGTGAGTAATCATGGTGATATCAACGTTAGTTTCAGTAGTTGTCAAATGGGTGGGGAAGTGCACAAAACCATTAAGTGACATTAGAATGTGGTAATTTGGGAAAGGGGAATGAAAAAATATGAGTTATAATTAGATTTAAGCGGTATATTAGAAGGTAGCATGTTAGGGTTAGATAACAAAATGTATATCCTCAAGTAAGACGTAAAGCTAATACGGCCTTTTACCTGAATATAGTAAATTATTGGTGTTAATAATTTTGAGTCTTTTTTTGGAACCGTGAAGGGTTTCATTCTCTTGTCTTGTTGCTTTGATGTTATAATAAAGGATATGTTTTGGTTTTGGAAGTTTTTTCATGTGTTATTATGTCTTTGAAATAGGTTTCCAGAGTTTTCGTGGATAATGCCATTAGCTGTGTGCGTGTGGTAAATCGCAACTTCTTAATCTTCCCATATAATGGGCGGCAATACATTAAGTGCGCGATTGTGTCGGGACAGACGCTACAATACGCGTTTGTTCCTTAATATCAATATTATTTTCGCTCACAGGAATTCTTTTTTCCACACAACTCCGTCAATATAAATTTTCTATCCATCATAGTACATGTTCCTCGTTGTCGCGCAGCGGCTGTTTTTTTCCGCAGGATACGGAATCGAATTCTTAAAATCTGGCAAAAGAATAAGAAGACATTTGAAACTAAAGAAAACAGGATGTGTGCGGTATAGCAGTGTTGAAGTAAAGTTGATTCTTTGCGGCGTATGCGAGTATAAGCAATCAGCATAGCGCGTGCGTTTGAACTTCGATTATAAATGGATTTTATTTCGATGGAATGGGCCAGGCAATAAGGGATCCTCCGGCCTTTCCACCCGAGGAGTTGTTCTGTCTGTCTGCTTCGAACGAGCCGCTGGGCCTTTGTAGTGGTGATAGATTCGTGCTAATCAAAAGAGAGCGCAAGAACTGTTAAAAGGTGATCAAGGTCATACGACATGCGTTTCGTCTGTTTTGTTCCGTACCCACTAACAATTAATACGATTTGTAACGAAGGCAATTAGATGCCCCGTAGGCATATCTTCAGTCAAATAAACTGAAACGTGTATATCAGCTAAATAGATAAGGTCTGGTAATTCATCATCATTACCCATTATCGGTAAGAGCTCAGTAAGAACGGACATGTACGACACCCTTTAGACAGAAACTTTAATTACCATTAGTAGCTTGGTAGAGGCGCCGGAACATTAATGCTCTGGGAGAATCAATCAAGTATGAGAAAGAATTTTGGAAGGTTGTAATCCTTTTCTTTTTTCCTTTTATGCTTGCATGCCTAAATTGTATATCCGGAATTTCTCTAGATATGACCACACCTCTTTAATTAATTTTACTCTTGCGTTTGCAGGGAAGTAAAGAAGATCCAAGGTCAG